GGTCCTGTCCGCTAGGGTCTTAAGGACTTCACCGTTAGCCTCCACTAGTGGTCGTGCTAGTGGGATGGTGGTGGGTTTTAGGGAGTAGCTAGTGCACATGATGGTGACAAACCAGCCCAAAACAGTGACGTCGTCGGTGTCGCAGAGTCTTTTGTTTGAAGTGAACTGGCTTGTAAGCACAGAAGCTGCAAACGCGGCTCGTGCCCGCTCCGTGTCTCCACCACGGCTCTAGTAGCAGCGTCGCCTCGAACAGAAGCGTCGTCCAGCTTCAGGGTTTGGAACTGCTTTGTAGCATCCAGGGAATCAAAAACATGCGGTTGCTGCAAGAACAATGGCCTCTGCACTTTCGGCTTCTCCGCGGTTGTGACGAGGGGATGCAAGAATCGTCTTGTTGCGAGCAAGGTGGCGGGCGGCCATCTGAAGCTCATCAACTTCAGCTTTCCTGTCATCGGGCTTGGCCTGCTTCGGGGCGACCATGGCCTCGTCGAACTTCAAAGCCACCGCTCCTCTGGAAAAACTTCCAAGCGCAGCGCTCTTGCAGTAGCCTTCGTGAGACCGTCTGCCAACTGCTGGGAACTGTTGCACCATTTCCAATGTCCTCCCATGTACCTTTCGGAGAGCTTATAAGGCCCGCTGACATATGCTGTTCGCGGCTTCGCGGTCTGTCTGGCCACCTCATCGCTCTGAGGGTCGGCGTTCGGAAAGAGCGTCAAGCGCCAACAGGCTTTCACCCATTCAAGCTCATCCACTGCGGTGGCTGCCGCCTGTGTTTCTGCAGCAAGTGTGGACCTGCAGACTTTCTGGAGGTGTCGGGAAGCCCAGTCCACCACTTCAGTTCGGAAAGGCTTTGAGCTTTCAACTTCTTCTTGGCTGGCCACGAAGCTGACGTATCCGCCTTGGGAGGATCCGTCCGGTTGAACTGCCCGTGCGGCGTCTGAGTAGGCGCCTGTTGCCTTCAAGAATGTCATTGACGGTGGGGTTGGCTATAACAGCTTGAAGAAGAGACACTGGAAGCGGCCAGCGTCGGCGCGCGTTGAGTAGCCGGCCAAACCAACGCACCAGCGTTCCGATAAGAGACCGGAGTTTGGCTGTTTCTTTTTGTTCGACCTCTGGATTTCTCAAGCGTGCTGGGTTTGATGCTGTGTACATAGCTCTAAAAAGAAAGAGCTCATACCTCTGCTCGACCTGAACACCGTAAAAGTCTTGTTTGCAGTCAAAGTCAATGGGTCCGAACTTGGAAGCGATGCAACAACCTCTGAGCCGTGTCTTTCAAAAAAACACAACCTCCTCAGGGCCACTGAGCCCAACTTCTCCACTCCGCGGCCATTGACATCTTCTCCTCGACCAATGATGTCGTCGACGTGCAGTCCAATGATGCCGTCCACGACCGCGTGCTGACCACCTTCGAAGACATGGTAAGGGTCATCTTCTGAGCTGGCTGCTCGGATCTCTGCCCGCCGGGTCCGCAGTTGCGTGCCACTGCTTGGGTGCATGCGCGTCGCCAAAGGCTGGCTTAAGGTTGCGAAGGAGCTGTTGACCCTTGGGGTCCATGAGGCGTCCCAATCTCTTGCGCGTCTCTGTTCGGTGCAGTGAACAGGCGAATGTGTTTGTCCAGGGTAGCGGCTTGCAAGAGAGCTGCCCTTAACGTCTGCGCTCCGAAGTCGCCGTCCGAGTTGGCTGCAAAGAAGAAGGATAAGTGCGACCCGGTGTCCAGCTTCCGGGAGATGACGTTCACTGGCCAAATGACTCTCGCTTTGGCCACCTTCTCGCCATGCTTGGATTTGTGTTTGAGCAAAAAGCGCACGGGCGCTGCCTCTCCTCGTTGTGCTGCAGAAGCGTCAGCTGGTGCCCATGCGTGGTTGATGACCCAAGGTTTCAATGCATCATCCTTGGCAGTGTCGAAGGGGGCCTTTTCCTCGGGAGTCATGTCGCGATGTGTCACCCTGCAGGCGCCGGAAGTGCGTCATCCTCTTCAGTGAGCTCTAGCATTGTGCATTGATTGTTTTGTCAGAGTGGCTGGTGTCCGACACGTAACCGGAGGAAGACCGTCAAGTAGCGCTTTGAGACCTGTCGCGGACAGTTCCTGGAAGTTTAGCTCGAGGTTCGACGCATTGTGGTTCGGCGCGAGGTGTGGTTCGGCCGGCTTGAGGTTCGGCGTGCTGGTTCGGCGGGAGGCGGTTCCACGCACCCAGCTTGTCGTCCAAGTAGGTGTCCACGTCGGGCTCACTGGCGATAGTGGGTGAGGGACAAGTGCAAATTCAGACGAACCGGTCCGCGCACCGCGCGCCGGTCGCAAAGCAGCCCACGCCTGATCCATGACCGGAACGGTAGCCTCGCTGGAGAGCAGTTTGGAACGAAGTTGTTCGGGAGCAGCGCGGGCCCGACTGGTGACCAAATGACATCCTGCTTGCCAGAGCGAGCGGGGCCACGCCGACGACCAGCTAGCGTCAACTTGCCGCCCTTGTTGTCTGGGGTCTGCGCGCGGATGTAGTACACATTGTACACATAGGAGCCGACCTGGAAAGAAGAAGGGTCTGGACATCCCCGTGCCAGAAAGGATCCCCGCGAAGCACGATCAGAGGTCGCTTCGTGAAAAGCTTTGGCTGCCAAGGTGCCTGATTGCTGATTGGCAGTCTGTGCCTCCTTGTCGCTGGCTGCCGGATTGAAAGGTTCATCAGAGGGTGTGGGAAGCAGGAAGCGCGCGAAGCGCAATGGAAACCGGAGAGGATTCATGGACAGCGCGAAGACGGTTTCGTTGCTCGGCTGCAAAGGATATGGCTTTGTCCACATCCAAACTGGGATGCTCCAGCTGGCGCAAACAATTGCCATTGAACATCACATGATCTACTGTCAATATTCGGCTGATTAAGGAACCCTTAATCGTGGACAAACGGGTTTATAATCCGTAAGAATAAGGTACGCATGTCCATTACTTCCTTCGACCAGTGCAGCGCTTGCGCAAACGCTGTCATGCGCTTTTCTCAACCAGGTCCCTTCTGCGTAGCTTTTGGCTTACGTGCCAGCCTCCAAGCGCCCGCCATATGCCGACAGGAGGACCAACCAGAACGGGTCAGTGGACTGAGGTTGCTTTTTGGCGGCTTCAGATGAGCACTTGTCGTGGTGGCTAGACTCTGGGCTGGGCAAGGACAACAACTGGCAGTTTGAGCTCCGCTTTTGTGCCTGCGCGCAGCGGCAATGCCGCGAGAGCAAGAGAGGCCGGGCCCGCGACTTCCGCACGGACAAGTTCAGGACCGTCGCCCTGGGAGACCTTGCTGATAAGAAAAACGAGTGGGTAGCAAGGAGCCCTCGCAATAAGTACGTGGAGATGGCCCGACTCTCCGGCGACTGCCGCTTCGATCTTGGGGATGCTGTTTTGGCCAACCTGTCTGCGGTAGAGAAAGAGTTGGGAGAAAGGCCTACGCGCCGGAAGGGAAAGACCGCGCCCACCTGGCCCAAAAAGATGCCTGGGAGAATGGCGTCCCGACCTGGTTTGGGAGCAAAGATGAGGGAACTCTGCCGGATACGCCCGAGAGCTCGGAGACAACAAATCCCTCCAAGGAGGAGAAACGGGCTACCTGCGCAGGGATTAAAACCGGGCAAACTAGCCGCTCGGCTCTTGCAAAGGATGCAAGGCTTGGTAGCCAGGGAGGGGGGGGTGCGTCTTGACGATGACCCTTGATGGCAATCGCAGCAGGTCAACGCAAACGAGGTTCCGCCTAGAGCGAGACGTCCAAGGCCGAAGCAAGGCCTGTCAAGGTAGAGGCGGCGCCGGAACCCTTGAAAATGCTGCAGGAATAGTCCTAGATAGAGTCTGGACTTCAAGATCGGGGACCTGCGCCGCAGTGATGACGAGGGCTTGCCTTCTGGCTTCACCGTCTCAAAGTACAAGGAGAAGGCTCGTGGGCTGCCGGCTGGGAGTTTTTTCTTGACATTTGAGACGGACATCCTGCCGATCCATCCTGCTCTGACTCTGACCCAGCCTGGCCTCCCCGGGGTGACCTACCGCACAACGTTGATTGGATCCGTGCCTCCATGCTGTCCTTGGACTACCTTTACTTGAAGAAGGCTTGTTTGCCTTCCCACGTCCTCAGCCTTGACTCCTGCTCAGCATAGTGTTATCCAGAGGATGGCCGAGCCCATTGACAGGTTCATTGCCTGCGCCGACCGGATGTCAACGTGTTCCACTTCGAGGGCCAAGCTGAAGTCGAAGAAGCTCAATTACTGTGGGGAGGTCATTGAGCATATGGAGGACATTGTCGCTGAGAAGGTCATCAAGGCATGGCCGACTCCGGGCAACGCAGCGGTGGTGGACCTCAAGACATGCCTTCCCGACGACCTCGCCGCCGAGCTTGATGATCTCCATTCTTTCCTCCTTCCCACCAGCCAAGGGCGCGGCCTCCAAGGATCAGGCCAATCCGATGTACCCTGGCGGCGATCTTGGGCTGTCTCCGGGGTCTTGCCCTCGAGGAGGGTCACCCGAAGGACAGCGGCTCCCTTAAGAGGGACAG